TCAGGGTGAAGTACTGTATGCAATGCTCCTTTTCTGATGCTCCCTTTGGGTTCCTGCTGGCACACTCTCCCATCCAGGTCTCCTCTTCAGGACTGGCTGAACACCCCAGACCTGAGGGGCCTTTGCAAAGGGATGGGAGCTGGAGGGTAAGAAGTTGGAGGGAAACACAATAATCTGGGAAATGGGTGAGAGAAAAAGCAGCTGAGTGAAGATTAAAGGGTAAAATACATAAAAAATAAGTAAGTGTGGAGCAGATCTTGAGGAGAGCTGTAGGAGAGCACTTCCCTGGTGACATCTCACATGGGCAGCCAGGGACAGAGAGGCAGATGATGTCTTTCTGTATAGGCAGACCAAATCTTCTGTAACAGCTCTCTCAGCTGGGCTCTTTGGTTAATGCTGTAGGAATTGCTTCCTGGAGGTATGGCTCTTCCTCCAGTAGCTATTAATGGGAGGAAGGTGATCAGTTACACTGAGAAAGAAGCCAAAATTAAGCAAGGTGAATCTCACCTCTTATGACCAGATGCTAACCTGAACTACCACTGTAAAGACATTCTGCACCTGTGCTTTCTCAAATTACCTGCTAACTCTGCACTTTTAAAAAGGCAAATGGGCTTTTAAATATTTGTAAATCAACTGAGCACTCAACTGTGTTTTGACTTGCTATCTTCAGGTGGCTTATGACAGACCCTCTTGGCCAGATGCTGTATTAGGACAATTTTCCCCCTAGGGGAATGGAAAGTCTAATCCAAGAAGCTTTTATGTTTCCAGAAGGACTGAGCTCTCAGTAAAGCATTTCCATAAGTCTCCTGTCCCCTAGGTAGAGTACAGTGTTTAAACAGAAAGTGATGTGAGACCAGCACAGCTTTAGGCATCCAGATTGTGGTGACATAAGGTCTCTGGACTGGAAGGAAAGCAGCCCAGTGGGGTCTGTGAATCCATCTGATGTTTCCTATGTGGACTTCATACCTTGATTTGTCTTATCTTCCCTGGCTATCCTTGTGCAGACAATCAGGATGAATTCAGGTTGGCTTCAGTTTAAGTAAGTTTTGGAAGGAGTTGCTGGAAGATTTGGAAAGAAAATGATGCTGTTGCTTGGTTACTTGCTGAGCTGGCCTTGCCATCACTTGTAGCCATCTCGCTAGAAGACATTTGTTAAGTGAAGCCACAAGAGGCTTCTTGTGTGGTCACTGCATGAAAACATACTCTTCCAAATACCCACTAGCATCAGTATTCTGACCGCTCTGAACCTGCTCAAGACTCACTTGACTTAACTAATGGAAACAGCCATGAACACCTCCAGTTTTGAAGTGTGGAGGGGGGTTGTCACTGCAGTTTATTTTTATTCCATCAAAAAGTGCTGATGACAGAAAAGGTGAACATTTGTGGAGGTACAGGGTTGTGGGAACATAGCTGTAACATCAGGTACAAGGTTATTGCTTGGGGAATTCCGTTCTGTCTCAGTTTCCTCCTTTGAGAAGTGGTCTTCCACAGCTGGTGGGGTTCTGATTAAATCAAATACCTTATTCTTTCCTTTGCTGAAGAGTATCGGTAAGGCAGCCCTTCTCTGGCAGGCAGGAGTGTCAGGCTGGGACCTTGCCCACAGTTGCAAAAGAGGATTCAGCCATGGTAGGAGAGTCCACCTACCCAGAACTCAACCTCATGCATAGAAATGAAATCTCCTGGGGACTGAGAGAGGCATCAGAGGGAGAGAGACTGTGACAGAGGGGACAAACCAAGGGTCAGCCAGGCAGGAACAATTTCTTCATGATCCCAAAAGAATCAGTATCCTGAAAATGTTCCCAGTAAAAAAAACCCAGGCTTGGTGAGCTGACTGCCCTCTTCTTTCCAAAAAAAACCACTCAAAAGGGACCACTGGTGAAGGAAGGGATAGACCATGGTAGGACATTGTGTGAGCTGTTAAGGTCCTGAGCATAGAGCCATTGGCTTTGTGTTATTGGGGACAGGTTCTTAGCAAAAAATTGGAGGCAAATGTGGCCCTTCATTTTCATCTTAGGTTCTGGCAGACTTGTGGTTCTTTTAATACTTAGTGAACAGGGTAATGGGACAGTTTCAGAACTGTGTTTTTGAGTCCGTGCTGGAGGTACCCACAGGATTTGTAAGTGTAAAAGCAAAGAGAGATCAAGTGAGTGAGCAGGGCTGGAGGCACTGTCACCACACTGGTTGAGGGCCAATGGGCAGAAGAATATAGCTGTGCCCACAGAAGTAGGGAGTGCCCTCAAAGAGGAACAAGTCTATTGCTGGTGAAGCTGAACGGACATAAAATCTCCCTTTTCTGTATAAACTTGCTAATTGAGCTGTAAAATAAAACTGCAGCCCTTCCTCTCCAATTTCTGCTGCTGCAGCAGAGTGCTAATTTGGTTTTGGAAGGGGGCTGGTGGAAGGTGGCACTTTGCCAGTGTGAAATTATGCACAAAAGGTTTTCAGGGAGCCCATCCTTGGAGCAGGGAAGGGCTGGGGGCAGGAGCTGCTGTGCTGCTGCACAGGGCTGGAGCGGCATGGGAAGGTCCTGCAGCTGGGCTGGGCTGGGCTGGGCTGGTGAAAATTCAAACAAGCCCAAAAGGGTTTAGACAAAGCTGCAATGGAGAACAGATGGGAAACTCAGTGCTCGTGCACCTCGACAGACTCTGCATGGTTCAGAGGATGGGCTGAGGGATTTCATGTCTTCCTTCCAGCACAGCCGTGTAGGATTTGCCTCTTGGGTCTGTGTCAGTGCCACCTGGTGCGGGCATGTGTGCCTGGTGCATGCAGACATGTATGTGCGTGTCGCTTTGGGTTCTGTGGGCTATGTGCGTGCCGTGTTTGGGTCTGCACGCAGGCGGTGAGGACAGGGATTTGGCTCTCATCACCCAGCAGCAACAGAGGTCTGCCATGAGGATGGCTGTGCACAGGGATGAGGAGGAACCTACTGCTCGGCTCTGATGGCTTGAACCAAGCAGGCATTTGCCCCTGCTGCTCACATTGGGATCTGAGAGGAGGACTGGTCTGGGGCAGTGGAAGAAAAACCAGAGGGCACAGCCTGGCTCTGTTGCATCAGTGTAATTTTTTATTTTTAAAAGATGTACAGAAAAAAGGCAGAGACACTTCCACTCCCTGGGGGTTCGGTGATGCCTGGCATCCCTCACATGTGGCAGGTCTATACACCCACCACACACGAGGATATACAGCTTTGGGTGGCCCAGGGCACAGCCCAGGCTCACCACTTTTATACCTTTCACTGTTTCCCATGAAACTGACTGCATGAAAGATTCCAGGCAGGATGCTCCAGAAACCATTGCAAGCACAGAGTTTTATGGATAGACTCATCTGCCCATTTTCTAAAGCTTGGCAGCCCTTCTGACCTCACCATTTTCTGCTCATCTTTTGGTCCCTTCCCTGAGAAGCACTGGGGAGGGAGCACTGCTGTTCCCTGTTGCAGGGTCACTGATGATGGGTCTGGGGTGGGTGTTGGAGGTGGGATTGAGAGGTGCAGGGCAGGACAGCGTTTTCCAACCTTCTCCATGTGCGGGAAGGGCTCCCTGCGCACTCAGCTGCCTGCTCTGGTGCTGTGAGGGCACTCACCTGGGGTCCCAGCAACCTGCCCATGGGGTAGTGAGGCAGCCATTACTCACTGATGCTTTCTTAAAGTGACCTTTAGTGTCTGAACAGCATTGGGCTGGATTTAGTAAGGGGCTGACAGAAGAAAAACAGTTAATGAAGCCTTCCTCTGTGGGCCCTTCCTCTGCCTCCTGCCCCAGAAGCTGGGTCAGGGCTTCTAGTGGTCACTGGCTGCTGGGTGCAACTGCCAGCAGCCCCATGCAAGGCCCTGTGCAAGCCATGCAATATCATTCAAACACTGTGCAAGCCCCTTGTGAACACTTCACAAGGTGCTGAATGAGGCATGCAAATGACTTTGCTCCAGAGCATCCCACACAGTGCGGGACAGGGACTTCTCGGGACGCTGCCACGGAAGCTGCCCCCACTGCTCGGCACTGTTTTCGTGTGGAGCAGATCCACTGGCTGGCATTAGAGACCTGCTCACCACACTGTGACAAAGCACCTGTAGAATTACAGCAGACAGAAAACCTAGAGGCTGCAGTGACAAACGCTCGTGAGAAGCGATTGTTTGGGGGGAGAGGAAAAAAACCCGTGTTTGTTTTGGCAAAACACCCACATTCCTTCAAATAAATCATCGCAGCACTTGTTTTTGTATTTGCAGAGAAATCGCAACAGACATAACCAGGGACTTAAAGAGGCTTGAAATAACATCCTAGTAAATACCCCATGTTGTTATTTCAATCGAGACCCGAGGAAACATCTGAATTTTACCAAGGAAACCCTCCGTGCACGAGAAAACATCAGCCCGCAGCCCTGCAGGGGCTTTGTTTTGCTGCGTTGTCAGCCTCCCGAGGCGGAATTAGCGGTGCTGGAGGAGGCGCGGAGCAGCGCGCAGCCAGGGCACCCGGGGCCGCCCCGCAGCCGGTCTCTCTGCTCTCCTCCGGCCGCTCCCGCCTCGCTCGGCCGCACTATCGTCTGCGGACCACGGGGGGAATTGGCGGTGGGGTGTCCCGCTCCAATGCGGGGCAGGGGGTCCTGTCAAAATGTGCGGTTCCGAAGCGGAGGCGGGACTGCCCCGTCTCCACTAAGGGACCGTGTTCCCCCACCAAAGGATGGGGTGGCTGGTGACAACCCCCCCATGAGGGGAGAAGTTTCCCCTTCCAATGCGGGGCGGGTGTTCCCCCTTCAGGAGCATGCTTCCCCACGAATAGAGGTGGTGGTGCCTCCCGTCAAGCCCCGGCGGGGGCCGTCGTCCACATGGGCCGGGTAAGGAGAGGTGCGGGTGCCCCCGCAAGGGGGTCCTGGGGGGTCTCACCTGCCGGCGGAGGCGGGGCGGGGACTGGGGCGAGGGCGGTGCTTCGCCGGGGCGTGGCGGGTGGCCGGCAGGGGGCGCTTCCGCGGCGGCGGGCGGCGGCGGTGGCAGCGGTGGCGGCGGCGGCGGCGGGCGAAGACGATGTTCAAAAGCGGGCGGGGAGCGGCGGCGGCAGCAGCACAGCGCCGAGCACCGGCACCGGGCCGCCGCCATGCGCCTCCGCGCCGCCACTGCCCTCTGCCTCTGCCTGCTGGGCGCCTGCCGCCTCCGCCGCGGGCTGGAGGCCGCCGCTGTGCGCGGACCGTCGGCGGCCGCTCCCCAGCGACCCTCGGCAGCCGCGCCTTCCTCCGCCTCCTCCTCCTCCTCCACCGCCGCCTCCCCCTTCTCCTCCCTGCCGCGGAGGGACAGGGCTCTCCGCAACGGCACTGTGGTGCCGCACCACTACATGGTGGCCCTCTACCAACGTCTGGCCGCCCGCCGTGTCCCCGGCCGCCGCGCCGACACGGTGACGGGCTTCGCGGAGCGGACGCGCAGCGGTGAGTGCGGGACGCGCGTCCCTCCGCACAGCGTGGAGCTCGGCGGAACAGCTGGGACGGGGCTGGCCGCCGGGACCCCGCCGTCGGGCGTGAGGGAGGACCATGGTCGGTCTGATTATGATGGGGTTTATGAATGGGCTTGGGAATGAGGATGGGGCTTGGAGAGGGGCTTGAGGATGAGGATCGGTCTTGGGAACGAATTTGTGATGGAAAGAAAATTGTGCGTTGACTTGGGGATGGATTTGTGGCTTGTGCACGGGTGTGGGGATGTGGCTTCTGCATGGGCTTGGGTATGCAGACCGGGTTGTGTGTTACTTTGAGTACCTGTTTGAGGACGTGATTGCACACGGAGACGGATTTTACACGTTGATCTGAGGACCGGGTCGTGCCTGGGGTGGGTTGTGCGTGAGTGTGCATGTGGATGGGGCTTATGCCTTGGCTGGGAAGTGGGGTTGTGCGTTAGTTTGAGCACGGGGTGGTGGCATAGGACGGGGATGAGCTGGAGCTTAACGGGGTAGGGGTTGTGCATCACTTGTTAGACGGGAATGGAGCTGTTCATGAGTTCGATCATGGAAATGGGAACGAGTACAGGGATGGGGATGGGGCTGTGTATAGCCTGGGATTGGGGTCACGGTGGGGATAGTACCTGGAGCTGGGAAAGAGTTCCCGGTGGAGATAAAAGCTAGGGGGCTGTGCATGAGCCTGGGGTTGGGGATGGCGATGGGGATGCACACGCGGTCGGGGTAGAGAATGATGCTCGGGGCTGAGCGTGAGGGCAGTTCCCGGGACCTCCACCACTTTGGAAGACAGAAGCCCGAAAAGCTCCGTGGGGCACCGCGAAGGGAGCGGCTCAGCCCCGGGTGCCGCTGCCCTCCGGAGTGGCTCCCGCTGACCCGCCGTGAACTCGGCATCGCCGTCCTCTTCTCCCTCTCCCACCTCTTGTGGCTCCTTCATACCCTCGGGTCTGGTGATAATAATCAACTAACACATTTACTGACTTAACAATATATTTTATATAGATGTAATATATACATATATATATATAGAGAGAGAGAGAGAGAGAAGGTGGCTCGGCTGGGGAAAAATAAAATCCCGATCGAATAAAATAAAAAGACAAGCGGAAGAGCAGCTCCAGTCTCCCCCCGTGCCTGTCACCGGCTGCCCCGGGGTGGGAGAGCTGCGGTTGTTGGTGCGGAGCCGCCCGCAGCCCCCCAAGCCCCATCCCCAAACCCAGCAGGGCCGTATCCTCCCGGCAGCCTTGGTCGGGAGGGTTTGCCTTAAAGCTGGTGAGGAAACGGCGAGGAAGCAAGGCGGGACGGGGGGAGAATGCTGAGATGGGCGGGAGGACAGTGCCCGCCTTGGGAGAGCCGGGGGCAAACTGCGCGCAGGTCCTGGGAAGTTTCAGGGCAAAATGAAACCAGATGAACTTCTTCAAAGGGATCTCCTGACCTGCTCCTCAAGGGAAGTTTATATCTGCTTCTAAAATAGTAATAAAAATATTAATATCATAAAGGTAGTAATGGTAGTCATAATAACAGCAAATGATGGGCAGGAAAAGCTTTCCCACCCGAAGCGTGGTGCAGACTGCAGCTTAGGGCTCTGCCGGCAGTGGGTCGGGGGGCTTGGGCACAGCACAGCAGCGATGTTTGCAGATCAGATTTCTAGTTAGAGAGGGAGAAAATAAAAAACAACCCTTCCAGAACTCATTCATCTCTTCCCCCAACCCCACTTCATTTTTTTTCCTCTCCTTTTTTTTTTTTTTTTTTTTTTTCAAATTCACATTGAGCATATTTAATCAGTACCAGAAACTGCACAAGTCTGCGTCTGGGCTTTGGATCCACCAGAAACAGTGACGGATTAAAACTGGGCTCACGTTCAGCTTCTGGGAGCTCCTCTGTCAGACATGCTGGGGCACAGCGTCTGCGTCCCCGACGTGTGCCTGCGAATGAAAGATGTTCACAGCATTTCACTCGGCATGGCTGGGGCTGGGAGGGGTGTGTGACAGTAAGGGCAGAGAAATAGGTGACAACCTGCTGTTTGGGGGTGCAGCTGTGCCGTGCGTGTTCTGCTGGGGCTTCAGTGTCAAAACAGGAGAGTGATGCAGTTAGGGGCACTGGAACACCCGGGAGGACAGAGAGAAGTCTCAGCCACTTGTTTGAATTGATTCCTCCCTCTCTCTCTGCCTTTTCTCCCCGTTTTTTTTTTTTTTTTTTCTTTTTTTTTTTTTTTTTTTTTTTTTTTTGGTGCCTTCATCCAGGGTAATGTTCCTGGATGCAGGCTGTGTCCCTGCTGGGATGCTCCGTGAGCCCTGATGCAAGGCAGTGACCTCCCCCCTGAGCTCCGTGTCCCTTGTGCCTCTGTAAAGAAACCTTGGCTTCAGCTCGCTGGATTTTTATAGCTTTTTCCTCTTTTTTTTTGTTTGTTTTTGGTTTATCTCATGCAGATGCCTCCCCAGCAACTCTCGGGCAGCGATACCTCTTCGACATCTCCAGCTTGCCCGACACAGAGGAGGTGACGGGTGCGGAGCTGCGGATCCTGCGCGCCCTCCCCGAAAACCGGAGCTTGGCCCTGTCCCCCGAAGGCACGTTCCACCACCTCCTCCTGTTCACCTGCCCGAGCCAAGACGGTGAGGAGCCCCGGCTGCTGGACTCCAGGGCTGCAGACATTGTGGACACGGGCTTCTCCAGATGGGAGGTGTTTGATGTCTGGGAAGCGCTGCGGGATTGGAGGGAGAGGTCTCTCTCGGGCAAGCTGCTGTGCTTCCTGCTGAGGATCGTCTCGGATCAGTCGGGGCGGCTCCTGCCCCCCCGGCAGCTGGGATTCAGCAAGCCCCGGCCACAGCCTCACGAGAGAGCCCTGCTCGTGGCCTTCTCCCGCACCCAGAGGAAGGAGAACCTCTTCAAGGAGATCCGGGATAAGATTAAGGCCCTGGGCAGCCCCATCTTCTTGGAGCCCCCCGATCCCGACCAGGAGGCGTTCCCGAAGCGGAGGAAGAGACGGACCACCGTCGCCGCCCGGACGGGGGGCAGAGGCCACGGGAAGAAGGCGAAGACCCGCTGCAGCAGGAAGCCCCTGCATGTGAACTTCAAGGAGCTGGGCTGGGACGACTGGATAATTGCCCCCCTGGATTACGAGGCGTATCACTGCGAGGGGATCTGCGACTTCCCCCTGCGCTCCCATCTGGAGCCCACCAACCACGCCATCATCCAGACCCTGATGAACTCCATGGATCCGGAGTCCACCCCCCCCAGCTGCTGCGTGCCCTCCAAGCTCAGCCCCATCAGCATCCTCTACATAGACTCTGGGAACAATGTGGTTTACAAACAGTACGAGGACATGGTCGTGGAGACGTGTGGCTGCAGGTAGCAATTTCTGCAGCTCTCCCCCTCCCCTCCCTGACAAGCCCAGAGTAGTCCAGCAGCCTTACCCCATTTTATATATATAAATGCAAATATATATATATTAAAAATATATATATACACACATGCACACTTTGGTGTGTGCCTTTCCAAAAGCCAAGCTCAGAGCAGGTGTCCCCTGCCTTCGTGGGGCTGTCCCAGCCGTGAGCCTGGAAGATATGGGAGATGCCTTCCCCCAGACAGCGAGGCTGTAGCTTGTTCTGCCCCGGGCCCTCCCAAAGACAGTGTGACTCCCACCACCCCTGCTGGGTTTCCCGGGCTCAGCCAGAGGTGATAACGCTGTGGTGGGAGGCAGGGCTCCCGGCCTGGAGCTCCTGCCATCTCTGTGCCTTGCCTTCTCCCACCAGGCGGGGAGCAGAGCCCCTGGGAATGCCTTCTCAGCCTCCGAGCTCTTCCTGGTCCACTCCACTTGCTCAAGCTGAGCTGACACTTATTTCCCACAGGATTTGGAAAACATCTGGCTAAAATTGTCTCAGTGTGGGGGGATAACCTGGGAGGGGATGGAGTGGTGACTGCAGCAATGGGGCCAGGCCAGCATCACCCTCTGGCTGTGGAGGTGGGGTGGAAGTAAGTTTGGAATACTTTTATCTGCGTTAAAGGAGTTTTTCTGGCTTCCTTCACATCACTGCCCTGGGTTTGCAGGGGAAACAACAAGGGATTCCTGGGGAAAGGCAGGGTGTGGAGGGCGTGCGGCCATGGTGGGGTTGAAGTCATTTGGTACAGACCTGTTTGCAGCGGGGAGAGATTTGTTCTTCTGACACTGGGGATAGAAAAGGAGGTCCCTGTAACTGGAGGTGAGCAAGAGTTGGGGTTGAAGTAGAGCTCGTGCTTTCAGCAGAGGTGTGAACTGCCCTGGAAGGTGTTACCTGGGAATGCCCTGGTTCTGTGTGATCTGAAGGCTAGCTTTGCTGCTGATGTCCTGCAGGAGGTACTGGCTGGCTGGTCCCATTGCTTTATGGCAAAAACCCACCTTTCCAAGGCACAGCAGGAAATCAGCACCAGCATCAGGCCCACAAGTCCCACAGCTGTCCTCAGTGTGCTGGGAGAGAAGCTGAAGTCTGGAGTTCCCTGGGGAAGAGCAATTTTGCCTGAGTTCTTTTTCCAAATAATCTCTATAAAAGCACTAAGCTCCACCCCACCTTCTTTTGGCACTGATTTCCCAGTGAGCTCCATCCCTCCCTGGAGTGCCTGCCTCTCGCTGTTCTATTAAGGGACCTGGATCTGCTGGGAACAGACATTTCCCATGCAAAAAGCTGAACGCCACCCTCAGAGACCACTGTGTAAAGCAGGGTGCTTTGACCCATGTTGAAAGGGCTACGGAATTTTAGTAATTCAGGAGCTGAGTATAAATTAGGCCTTTAAATCAGAGAAGCTTTCCATCCATGCCAGGGCATGTTTGGGATGCTGGGAAGTGTTTCTGCTGCACCCCAGTGGCTTTTGGTACTGAGCTTAGGCTTCATGACTGCGTTGGCTTAGACTAGAGATGCGCTTGCACAGATTTTGCTTCTGATAGTTTGTTTTTTACTGGTGGTCAAGGTGTTGGCACGTAAACATCAATGCTTATTAGTGACAATAATAATGTGCTGTTGGGTGACATAAATCCTGCTGGAAAACATAAGGGTTTTTTTTCTATATAAAGCTTGTTTTCCTCCATGGCAGGGGTGTTCTGCTAGGGAGGAATAACCCTAAACAGGGCAATGAGGGGATCACCTGAAAAAGCTCTACCAAGATCCAAATTATTCTGAAGATCAGGAAAGCCTCAGTGAGAGTCCAACAGCTCCGTTTCCCCAGGAAAACAGTACATCAGCAGGGAGAACACTGTGTGCATCAATAACAGTGATACAACCCTCACAGCCCCCTCCGTCCTCACCCCAAGGAGGTCTGCTCTGCATCCACAGGCTGTGGCTGGTGGTAAACCAGAGGAGCAAGTGTGGCACCTGTAAGTCTCATGTGAACTTCCTTGGAGCAGCTCTGGCTTTACATCCATGTATCTGAGAGGAAAATCTGGCTCCACACCTCAGTGTGAATGTAAATATATATTAACCGTGATGAACCTGTACCCAGGAGGATGTTCAGGGATGGAGGTTAGTGGGGTAGAGGAAGAATGAGTTCTGTGCTGTTAGGTTTTCTCACTGTCAGCATGTTTAGGGGGTGTGAGGTGCAGCTAGTGGATGCAGAGGGGCTGGCAGGAGGGCTCATGGGCTTCCTCTGACCTTGGGCTTCAGCATAGGTAGTGAGGGGAAGGAGGCTGGCATGGGCAGTGCTGGAGCTGCTTGCTCTGGAAACACTCCATCATTTATAGAATTACCAAGGTCTCGAAGTACCTAACTTTTCAATTGCTGCTGTCTACTTGACGGCTTTTCTCACTGCTGAGACAATTTTGTTAATGTTTTAGTTTCTTTTATCCCCTTCCCATTCCTCTAAATAGTTGTGGTGGAGGTTGGTGAGTAGGTCAAATCCAAGCAAGATACATATAGCTCCTGGCTGATGGCTCTTGTGAGCCTTGGCCAGATATTCTGAGATCTGGTTCTGTGGAACCGTGTCCAAGGGGGTGCTGACACCAGCAAACTCCAATTCTTGTGGCTCTTGTTCAGCCACAGCTGCAAGTAATGAACAGACAGATAGTTGTCACCCACATCAGGTCTGGAGGTGCCCAACAGAGAGCAGGGAGATGGATTCGGTAGGCTTTTGATGCTTTGCCTGGATCCCAGTTTTGGGGTGCTGCATGCTGCTTGGGCTCTGTTCTGAGCCCCATGATGGCGTTGCTGGCCCTGGGGAGAATCACTGAGTCGCAGTCCAGGCTACAGAACTGGAGCTGCAATAAATGAGGAGGGTGAGGATTCGGGGTTTTGCCCATAGAGGAGCCAGTCCAGATGCAGATACCTCACCCTAAACAGGCATATTTGGTGGGAGACCATGCTTCAGCCCACCAGGGCGAGCCCAGTGGCAGTGTGGCCCTTTGTGTTCACACCCCTGGTGACACCACCATGCCAGCACTGTCTTAAGAGCTCCTTTCCTGGGTGAACAACCTCTGGAGAACAATAGTAGGGAGAAGGATGGTGTTGGACCCTCTTTCTGCTTGCCTACCAGGGCAGGGGGGCAGCTCCCTGCCTGGGGCTGCTCCAGGGGGATGAGCAGGGCAAGGCTGAGGGCTCTTCGTGGGTAGCTTCCCATTCTTTCTGGGCAACTGTATTGGCCACAGCAGTTGGCAGTCACACTGCTCATTGCTCCTGAAGGAATGTTTCCAGAGCAAAAGCTACCAGTCCTCTTCTTCTGAATCCTTGTGTGCCACTGCAAGGGCTGCCTGTCTACAGTGGGATTAGGCTTGGAGAACGGCCAGCGAAGCCATCACAAGTGGAAGTGCTGAGCCCTGGTAGGGTGTGAAAACCTTTCCAGGCAGGGAGATTCCCATGGCTGAGATGCTGCAGCCCTGCCATGCTGGGGAGCAACGCAGGGACCTGTCTGCAAAGGGCATGGAGGAGTAAACCCTGCTTCCAGAGGCAGGTAAGAGAGGCATCAGCTGCAGGATGGTGGTAGCCCAGCCCTGGAGCTGGTCCTCCACAGAGCATCACTCTCTAACGCCATAGAAACAGTCCAGGAAAAATGTATTTCTGATCAGTCACCTCTTGCCAGAGTTGATATTTGGGCACACATAAACATTATAAATAGGAGAGTAGGGTTTGAAGATGGACAAACGTGAATTCAGTAGACTCAGAGTGATTTTAATGGATAATTATAGGTTCTCAATCTGCAGTATTTATACAACCTTTCCAGTTTTAAAAACCCAATAGTTTCCATGCAGAGTGCATTTTCCTGGAGGATTTGTTTGACCTTCAGCACCATTTTTATCTGCAGGATATAATTATAGTGAAGCTAGAAATATTAAGCATTTGAAAAGAACTATGTATCTATGCTTAACTGACTCCCTCCCCTCTTACATGGGAGTGTCATTGTGCAGGAATAGGGAACACAGAGATTGATCCCATTTTGGAAGTGCTGGGCTGGGAGTCAGGGAAGTATGCCTGTTTGGGACAGGATTGGTGCATGTGCCTTGTCTTGGGGCTCCTTGAGTTCTATGAAACTAGAGCCTGTGTTTAAGCCACTGCCTATGTTGTGTCCCAAAGCCCCTGTCTGGTGGAGTCCCATAGCAGGGACATTCAGAAGCAAAATGGCTTTATGGCCAGTTTAACTGCCTGATGACCATGTGCTTCTGACCTAGAAATAATTGCCAGGAAACACAGATTTTATTTCTTTTCATTTTCTCTTTTAAGGCATAATTGTTTGTGTTTTTTAAATTCTCTTAAGCTAAGTGGATTGTCTAGCATTCCCCCCCCTCCCTTTTTGTTTTCACATTGTGCTTCAGATCCAACGATAAACAGAAAAGGGGTGTTCTCTGTCAGGGATAAGCACGTTCAGATGTAAAAGGGCTTGATTCAGGCTTGCAGCAGCTTCACCCTGGCATAGCTGAATTGATCCCAGTGGCTTTACTTCTGGTCAGCAGACAAAGCCATGTCCTCTTTGGCTGTTTCCTGATGTGTGGTGTACCTGTAACAAAAAAAAACTGGACAGGCATCACTTCCAATTAAAAGCAAACCCCAAATCTTGTGCCTTCTACTCAAGTCTGAATGCCAGTGACTTCTGTGTGTCATATGTTTTTTAAGTCATGTCTTGATTACACGACTCTCGCTACTGGAGAGAACTGGGTAGGTCTGCAGAGATTTATTCATCATACTCCTGTTGCAAGACAAGCAGCTCCTTTTACTGTTGGTGGTTTTAAGTCCTTATCCCACAGACCTAAGTGTGTGTTAAGGGAGAGTCACCTGTGCTGGCCCCCACATAACAGCAGACATATGCACTGCTGTTTGCAGTGCTGTCTCTTGCAGGATGAGACAAAAGAGGCTAGGGCATCACTTAGGATGCTCCAGGGATGCCAGTCCCATAAAACTACAGCTGGGCAAGCGAAGTGGATCACCTTGGCATACTTTTTGCTCTCCAGACTTAACAGGAGTATTGCCGTGAGCTTCAGCTTGATGTTCTTGTCTGTAATAGTAGCATCTACAGTTAGTTATTCATGTCAAAAAACAAGTGACATGTTGCTATGACTGGTATGTCATAAATATCAATCGAGCTCATACTCCAGTTGGAGCAAAGCTGGTGGGAAATGTCACGGTTCCCTGCTGAGCATGTAGCAAATCCTGAAACATGAGTGTCTTCTCTTTTGTTTGCAGTGGGGCAGCACTGCCGTATATCAGGGAGGAAAAAAACCTGCATGGGGCAACATCAGTGAGAGTCTGGGTATTGGAAGGGGGTGGTCACCGAAAATGGGGCTGTGCCACTAGATTTGAAAGATGGCCAGACCCAAGGGCTATCACATGGACCTTGGCTGGGCAGTGTGCTTGCTGTGTCTTGGGCAGAACCAGAGTTATGGTATGAACTTCTCACTATTCATATCACCCCATGGGGAGGTGAATGGGCAGGAAAACCCACATGGGCAAAGCCAAGCTCTGGTCTTTGAGAGAAGCATGGTTGTTCTTTTAAGTCACCATGACCAGCAGATGGAGAGACTTTGTGTGTCCCACTGGCATCAGAGCAGCATTTCCTGACATCAAGGATCCCTTCATGGCTATGTGGGGTCCAAACAGTGATGCTT